CTGTCAAGTTTATCAAAAGTTTGTATATACAGTATTTCGGTCAACTACTTTATTGCCAATTTTAACCTAGTAAGCCTTCGGGGTCACGTTGACATTGAGTCTAATCTATTTTTAGAAACACTTTCTTTTGACATTAAATATAATAATAATAAATAATAATATAATAATTTAACACATCTTATACAGCCATTATGTAAAAACTCATATGACTTAGCTCATCATGAATGCATAGCTAGCATGAAACAATGCTGTTACTCAAGTACTACCTGATGGAAATTTACGAAAACTATATACCGGATCAAACTTTTCATGGTTAATTTTCCATTACAATTTAACATTCAAAATGTACTCAAAACTACATTGATGTGTTTTTTCTTCAATCATGAAGAAAATTATAAGCTTTATAATAAACAGCTTTTTCCAGTTGTGAAAAAAAGTCCATAGGAAATTTTTGTCCCCACTTGTCACAGTAGCATATTTTCATACACATGCTTAATAATAAGTTTCACAAACCTATTTCTGAAGAAACTTTATTATGACTTGCTTGTCCATTTCATTTGGAGCATTTCTTTTCTTGTTTGTATGACACTAAAGTAAATTCTGCAAAAATACCTCTCAGTTACCTGGGCAACACAGACAAATGTTTTTTTTCTGGTCATCTTACCTCAAATTTATGATTGGACAAGAGTTTTACAGTCACTCTGACCTTGACCTTTCACATATTGACCTCAAATTCAACACGGGTCACTGGGTCATGGACATTATAACCCTACCAATTTAAGAAACATTGGCTTATTCCTTAATAAGTTTTTTTTATCAAAGATTTTAAACAGTCAATGTGATCTTGACCTTTGACCTACTGACTAAAATTCAAAAAGGGTCATCCAATGAGTAATGACCATGAACTAGGTCCTTACCAACTTACACAAACAATGGCTTATTCCTTCATCAGTTATTGAATTGATCACAGGCAATAGAATACACAAACAGACCCACATATGGACAGACAGACAGACAGACAGACAGACCCAATCACAGCATCCTCCTGCTAAATGGTGTGAACCAAAAAATGTTACAGCTATGTCTATAGAATGCTTTGAATATCAAAGATAATAACCCAATTGTCTTTAGTCTCTATAATCAATATTGTCACAGCATTGGATAAAATACATTTCGCCAAATTGTGATCTTTTCTAGGCATCAAATATGTTGCCAAAAATGCATCTGATTACCCAAGACACAAATGGACTGTTTTTTCTTTCCTTTTTTATCCTTCCCTTTTTTATATTGTCAAAACAATTTTATATTTCTTGTAGGCAATGGTAGGATACTACGTCATCGCGCACCTGCTAAATGCTCCCACTTGGACCATTTTTTCGTCGACTCGAAGGTAAAATACAATTTTATTATAAGAAAACGTAAGAGTATTAAAAAATCATGTAGCGCACCAAAGAATGGCTATAGTACTTGAGATAATTGTAAAAAAAAGTTTATAGATTTATTGCCTGGTTTAGGCCTGAAAACGGGATAAGTGTTTTTCTCTGAATGCTCCCACTCGGACTTCTCCCGAAACATATATGAAATAAGGTTGAAAACCTTCTTTTAAATTTATTTTTAACGTACCGGAACATAAACCGAGTCATGTATACCCATTATTCTTTTATTAGTTTCAAATATTTCTATTCAAAAGTCAGTCTTTTTAAAGGTTTTTTTATGAAAATGGAAAATGCTCCCACTCGGACTCAACTTCAGAGATGCTCCCACTCGGACCTAAATATATACAAATTTTGAAAGCACATTGCTGTCTTAAGACATTATTATTTTTTTCAAAATATCTTTATATTCACGTTCATATATTCATATAATTAGTAAGAATTCAATGAAACAGCATTTTTAAAATATGATACTAATATTTAAATTACTAAACAGTCTCGTAAATATGTCTTCTTAGAGGATTAGTATAAGGGAAAAAAGTTGTGTTGAAACAATTCCTCGTTTAAAAGAGTCGCTTAGATAAGAAACAAATTGTTTATACATTTTAAAAATATAATAACGTTTTGTTTTGCAGAAAGTATTTGTATTTGTGACCAGTATGGGAAAAGGTATTAACCACATTGCGACGTAAGGAAGCACATGGCAGGACATCTTGGCACGGCAAAGCTTGAGCAAATATTTTAGATACCAACTGTGGATATATCTCATTGAGGAGGAATACTCTAGAAAACACAAGAATAATAGTTCTTTGAAGTAATTGTCTTTTGTTCAGTTTTTTTGCGTTAATTTTGGACAATGTGTCATAAATGATCAATTCATCTGAAATTTCACTGGAGGATAGATTTCAATAAAGAAATAAATTCCGCAAACAAGAATGACAACTCTCCAGTTTTGGAGTTATTGTTCTTTATATTCACTATCATTAGTTTGCAAGGACCATACCTCTAAAGGTATTTGAGATATAAACTTAAAACTTTATATTGAACATGTTTAATAGAAGTGAATAGCAGAGCATAATGACCAGAAGTGTTCACTTAATGCTTTTTGTTATTTTTCTTTGTTTTTTTTTCATGGGAGTGTTATTTTTGTCATGATTTATTATGTCTAGGCTATAACTTTTCATTAATTTTCACGAGTATCATTACTTGGAATTTTTACACGTATGTAAGGGTTACTTCCCCTTTGAAATGTACTTCCTCCTTATGGCGGGGGATTTTGCTGTCTGTGATTCCTTCTTGTATTATTGTTATTATTTTAACGTCATTCAAATATCCTGAAATCATTTTTCTATGATTTTATTCATAAATATAATGCTCAAATGAAGATTTATCAATATTGTATGTTCCGAAAAGCATTATTTGTAAAGATAATACCGAATTTACATTTCATAAAGGGAGGTAATTAGAAATATATTTTCTATTAAGTGTAAGTTGAATCTTTCAAAAAGAAATGAATGCAATATGCATACATGTATATTTTAATGATTACATATAATGTGGACAAGCATTTGCAGTACGTATTTTACATATTCCTTTATGTTTGAAAATTGTTTTAGTACCATAAATATTAATACATTTAATTTATAGACAATTTCAATTGGTAACAGCCTGAAATATAACTTACATGATCTTTAATTACCAAAATATGGTAAAGACTGTGATAAAGAAATAACTATGATCTTTGTTTTCTTATTTTATTTTTTTCTTATTTGGGTAAAAATACGTACACATGATAACTTTCAAACTTAAAATTGTCAAAGTTGTTAATAATTGTGACGCCGTAGTATGGCAGTACATTGACTTTTTAACCAGTTCATGACAAAAATGATTTACATGTTGTTCTTTAATAAACTATTCCAATCAACCGATAGATATTGACTTCTTTATGTTCATAAACGTACCATAATGCTGTTTTAAAACATAAATCACAAGTTTAACAAACACGCAAAACATTGGGTTTTAAATTATTAACAAGATAATAAAGTCAACAATTATTGAATAAATGTTGGCCTCTAATATGTGTACGAGTCCAACAGAATCTTAATCCGGTATGGTACTAAAGAATGTATAATGACTTCTTTGTAAAACACCACACTTTTTGAACATCTAAACAAAACTTTATTCTTGAGATCCAAACTGCCCATTTAAAGTCTTATAGTCCTAGCTTGTTGTTGGCAATAATTTTGAATTATCCCTTCGGATGCAACACAAGCCAAGTGCACCTTTTTGTATAGTGATCCTGTCAGTTGAAACTTTGCCATGGCACCTTGTTCCTGCCCAACGACGTCATTCTACAGAATCAAAGAAGTGATCTCTGTAAAAAGAATGAAAAGTTAATGTTGCCAAACACAGTAGTTATTGGCAAAATGGTGTTAAAATTGTGAGAATAATCCATAAAAGCTAACACAGCAATGAGCTTTCAAAATGTATAAATTTGGGTCCGAGTGGGAGCATCTCTGAAATCGAGTCCGAGTGGGAGCATTTTCCATTTTCATAAAAAAAACCTTTAAAAGACTGACTTTTGAATAGAAATATTTGAAACTAATAAAGAATAATGGGTATACATGACTCGGTTTATGTTCCGGTACGTTAAAAATAATTTTAAAGAAGGTTTTCAACCTTATTTCATATATGTTTCGGGAGAAGTCCGAGTGGGAGCATTCAGAGAAAAACACTTATCCCGTTTTCAGGCCTAAACCAGGCAATAAATCTATAAACTTTTTTTACAATTATCTCAAGTACTATAGCCATTCTTTGGTGCGCTACATGATTTTTTAATACTCTTACGTTTTCTTATAATAAAATTGTATTTTACCTTCGAGTCGACGAAAAAATGGTCCAAGTGGGAGCATTTAGCAGGTGCGCGATGACGTAGTATCCTACCATTGGTAGGACTCTATCCCTTGTATACTATGCCTTACATACTTTCAAACCTTTTATTTTGTTTTCCATCATTGTATGATAAATTGTGTTTTTTTTTAAATCTTTAATGTTAATTCTTTAAAGCTTGTACATTTGATAATATTAATCATTAAATTATTTTACTTTAATATTCATAAAAGAAATTTTAAATTACAAACTTTAATTACAAACTTTTAATTCTTATATACACAATTTTTTATCAAACACTCCAAAAAAAAATTCCAACAATTTGCACAAAACATGAGAAAAATAATAATGATTTTTAAAGCACATTTTAAAATCTCTGGCAGTAAAAACAAACTTAGCTGTCAAGAAAACACATAAATTATGACGCAAAATTAAAACTGAGACAATTAGCAATTAAATATAAACAAAAACTAGGCAACGCCTCAGCCATGTGAACAAACTCATTAAATCTAGAACATAATTTATCTATAGTAGATAACTCCAACAAGAATTGTATTCTAAACAAACATTTTTACCTCCCTTGAAGTCATCTAACTTAAATCTGAATTAACTGACAAAACCGAGACCACGTATGAAAAATCAAGTCACAACAACAAAGTGGAAAATAAAACAACTTACGGTACATTATAAGCAGTCATTGCACACATAGCAGATTTTCTCTTCTTTTCCTCATCAACAAAGCTATCAACGGGTGCACAATGTACTGTATGTCGCCGCGGTCTTCGTTCTGTAAGACAAGGTTTTTCAATTCCCTCATACTCCTTAACTAATTTCTTGGACACATTAGCCTTGAGTACATTAAATCTACCAATCTTTTCTACATCATGCTTGTCTACTTTCTCCACTTTAGATTCCTTTCCATCTTCATCCTGCGATATCTTTTTCTCTTCAAACCTTTCTCCTTTCAGTCCTTCTTTCTTTTCCCTCATGTTCTTTTTCCTGATGGCAGCTGGTGCTTTCTTCAAACCAACATATGGCTCATACATACTATCTGTATCATCATCAGTACTGGTTGGTTCTTTACTTTTCTTGATTACACCATCATTTACTTTAGCAAGTGGACTTTCAAAAGTGACATGCTTTTTTATATCAGGTGACTTGATCTCTTGTATATCAGATAGACCAGGAATGAATTCTGAAGAATAAGAGTGATGCTGTTGATGAGTTGAAACTGGTATGTATGTCTGCAAAGACCCTGGTCGTCTTGGCTGATATTCCACATATTCCACACCTGCTGGCTGCATCTGCTGAACAACACCTGGTTGCATCTGTTGAACCATTCCTTGCTGCATCTGTTGAACCATTCCCTGCTGCATTTGTTGAATTGGGCGAACCAGCTGAATTTGTTGAACAGGCTGTTGAGACTGGATCTGTGATGGCTGATTACCCATATTCTGCATAGTGGAAAAGTGACCTTGCTGATGATTTCCATGTACAACTGGTTGCTGACTGTGAACAGAATAATATGGCTGAACTTGCTGCACTGGACGATAAGATGGAGACATGCTTGAAACTGGAACTTCCACATAGTAAGACTGAGTTGGGCTGTATTGATCCTGTTGATCAAAAACTGGGTACTCCTCTGACGAGTATTTCCTCATTACACCATCATTTGGAGGTGTCTGAAGGTATTCATATTGAACATTGAACGGAACAGGACTGGAAAAAGCTGGTCCCCTGCGCATAGGGATAACAGGTGATCCTGGCATTACCGGAGATCCATTCATAGACTGGAGTACGTATTTACGACGTGGATACTCCTGCAAAGAAAGCCTTCTGAATGGGGAATCCTCTTCCATCATCATTCCAATTACAAAACAATGCAGACAACTATTGACAAACTTATTAATAAACTTGTAAATACAAAGTCGTCTTTTAAATAATCCTTGAATATCTTTAATCCAACTTTTGAAACAGTAAAATCCCTCTAAAACATCCAAAATAACAATGCTTGTTTAAAACACCTTCAATTATTCGTTTCAACCTTCAAATATATCCTCATATCCTTTTAATGTTTCACGTGAAACTTCAGACGTATTTATACTAGTTTCAAGAAATAAAAATTCTCCTTGATGAACTTGACAGTCTCATTTGAATTACTTTAAGGCTGGATTACATCTTAATTTAATGACAACATCACGAAGTACACAAGTTTTTGGCAGAATATATGAGGTTGCAACCACTGAATGGTTCAGTTCAGTTTAAAACAATGATAACATAATTACAAGAAAAGCAAAAAATTTGCATTTATGTCCATTAAAAACACAAAAAAATTAACATGTTTACTTAAACTGACAGATTATTGTTCAAAATGATGTCATACTGGTATCATATAAATCATTTCTATCTCCTCTCCTTCAAATGATATCAAGGTGTGCACCAAGGATCAGTTTTCTAGCCCATTTTGTTTCTTTAATTCATTATCCTGAATACTAAGTGTGTCTTTTTGAATAATTACACTCAATCCTAATACATTTTGCTGTTAATTATTAATAATTTTAATAAGGAGGACCTCTAAAGAATACACTATCAAATGACAACAACCAGAAAACAACCTTTTATAATCAAATTGCCTGCCAAATTGTGTATTTCTGTTGCAAGATTATCTAATTTGTAATCATTGGTCTACCAACTGATCAATGTACAAACCACAATTAAAGTCCATCTAACACTATCACAAATTTATAATCCTATATCCTATGCTATAATCTCATGAAATCATGAAAAGGTATTGTCATTCTTTTTTAACACTTTCTTTTATAAGATCTGCAAAATCTTCTTCACTAAGACACTTTAGTAAGACAAACAGGTCCAACTGTCCATTTACAATCAAATCAAGTCATTATAAGCTACAAAACATCTACCTGGCCTGTAAACCAAACCAAAATTGCATGGAGACATTATGCAAAAAAAAATATCTTAATTATTCGATAGTAATTAAGTGGTAGTCACCACACATTCATCTCTGGTGTCTAATGGATTACCAACTCCTCAGTTAAAGAGTCTATTGGCTAACTTTAAGTCTATGATGTCAAGCTGAACCTCTACTGTTATACGTAGTACAACCATTATTAGGTAAAATGCATGCTTTAAAATTTTATCCAGCACATATTTTGCAGGTTTTATGGTAAAAACCTGGGCTAATCAATCACAGCAATGATATGTATATGGTCATCACCTCATTAGACAATCATGTAAAACATAATAATAAGCCATAAAAATTGTCATTGGATATTATCAATATATGTAAATACATAGTTAATGGTAAATATCTTTATTCATCATAAATGGTAAAATTCGGAGAAAAACAAACAGTCCCCATTGACATTTTACATTTATTTTTTGGATTGTTTATGATCACAACCATAAATAATGAGAAAAATATCTTTTATTACAGAAAAACAATTCCCATTAAGTATATAATATCATGACATAAGAAGTTAGTCAACATGTAAATATAAACATAACTGTGACGATGAGTTGAGTAATTCTGATGAGTTGCGTAAATCTGACGATAGTATATTTTTCAGTCACATTATTTATGAGATCTTCATGCGGTCAAAATCTTCGGTATGGTATTTCTTTTAATTAATAGAATTCATTTAAAAAATCCTCGTCATCAGCTCTGACATTTGTTGATTTAGAACAAGAGCTGGTAATCTAATGTCAATAAACAGTATTGGTTAAAATATATACCATTGAACAGTGTATTGTTATTGTTTCAGTTCATACAGATACTCTACAATATACCACATGGGACAGTACATCACAGAATTTTCCTTATCACTAATCAAGGGAGTGAACTGTTGTCAAACATCAAAACTCACCATCAGTGGCAATCAAGTCAATTGCATGGATGTATAAATGTCAAAAACATAGTCATGTATCTAGCAGCAATTAAAGTTTTTATGATACTGAATAATTAACAAAAGTTAATAATTCATTAATTATAATGTTTAAATAATTAACTCATGTCATATTTCCCGCAGATACCCTGAACCATGACGATCCCTATATCATGGCACACATTATGTTTGATAAATCCTCATGGCAGATATTGTAACATTAGGTCTATAATATCGTAACATATTTAGCATCATGAGGCCTGTATCGTGGCACATTTTGCATTCTGAGGTCAATATTATGGCACATATCCTATCAAGAAGCCTACATCATAGCATAAATTGTATCATGAGAATTCTATCAAAATGTTCTCCCTATTAAGCAAAGGGGGCAGACTATGACTGTGAAAGATTTATGTTTCAAAGGTATAAACCAACTTGGTTAAAAAAAAACAACTGTACTTACATTGCACTAATCCTATTGTGAGACAACCTCCTTGTGGACAAGTACTCTTTAGATGGTGGAGGAAAACTATAAACAGTTGTTCCCCCTGATGGCGTCTTGGCAGCTACGGAGAAACTACCATCTTTTGAAATGTCCACTTTTCCGAAAACAGAAACTGAATTTTCCGACCCTGACTGTATTGTTCTCACAATACTTACATTGTACCCATTTGGATTTGCCATGTTTTTTGTCTTTTAAAATGTTTAATTTACTCAAAAAATATGTAACAAATCACTGTATCATGTATCATTTAACAGGAAGGAAGTCAATGTAATCTCTGTATTACCCATAATCCAACACTGAGTATTAATAATCGTCTCTTTTCAAAACCACCGTTTGAATGTGAATGGAACGTGCCAATAACTCTCTCCCTATGAAAACTGTTTCGTAAAATGTCCCGCCGGAAATTTACATTCTATTAGCACAGCAACCATAAATTTCAACACCAAAGTCAACAGATATTTCCTTTTACATAAAAAAAAATCCATTCAATATTCATACAAATGTTTTTTTTTTGTAATATAAAATTTGAATCCTGTAAGGAATTAATTTTAGTCACAGCTTAGCAAACTGGTCTTAACCAAATTTTAATATCCGAACTAAATCTCCTGTTGACTCTATAATAAATATCCAATGATTAACTATTTATATTTCATACAAGAATATCTAACTAGAACAGTTTTCGCACCTGTATACAGCTGTACCCGATGAAAATGCAAATGTCTTTATCTCTTTTAGCATAACTTATGTAAAATTTTGCCAGAAAAAAAACCTAAAGCCGTTTTAAATTGCCTCTCCTGTTCACACAATCCGAATCACAATATTTACAAACATTTGTATCGCTAAAACAATAAAACAGACAAAGTCGTTATAAAACTATCAAATTGTTCAAACAGCTTTTTAACCAGTCTGATTGATGAAGCAGCCATTCAAATCAGTGTGTATTGTATCTATTTTAGAAATATAGTATTTACATACCTTATGGTAGCCCATTAAATTTAATAATCGTGAAGTTACAGATTTTGCTTTGTTTACCATTTTAACCTGTCTTTATAAACAATCCAAATTGCTGTTGCAACTTAACATTTTTTGATCCCAGATTGTGATGACTTTTGTAATAATAAATGATCAATAGATTTTTAAAACCTTTTTAAGACTGGCTCAACCAATTTAATAAAGATCTCGTCGATGAAGTCAATTTAATAGTTATTTCTTAACAGGCAGAATATCTTTGACAAATTTTTTCAACAAGAATTGAGATTTTAGTAAGAGTCATTCAAAAAATATATATTTATAAAAAGCACTTTTATTTAGGCGGGTCTTCAGTGATTTATGATTCACCAAAAAATCAGTCAAGCATATTCATCAAATAAAATTTCATTTTTAATTTTTTCTGAAAACTGCGCCCCCGACAAACCACTGCATATAGGTAATTTAAATAATCTTCAAAATTAATGCTGTAAAATCAAGAATTTTACACACAACTTTATATATTATGCTTCATTTTTTCAAGTCTAAAATGGTTTTCACCCCGATTTATAATAATTCAAGCTATTGATCTGAACTTTATGGAACAAGTTATATCTTTTTATGACATAGCCATGCCTCTTTTGTGACTCCTTAAAAACGGTATTTCATGACTATGCCTATATTTTGCATTATATAAACATAGCCTAAAACATGCTCAAATGTAAGCATTACGCAATAGGCATGTCAATGAAAAGAGCGATTAATTCTATAATGTAAACAGTTCTTAGTTTGGGTATGTGATAAATAGAATGTTATTTTCTTGTAAGCCAGAGGCTCGCTGACGCATAAAATAATTTTTATTCAACTTGTTCAATAAATTCAGTATTGAACCAACACTCATTCAATATCTTTACCTATATTATGCTCTTGAAATTTTTTACAAATTTTATCCTTGACTGAAAAATTGTAATGTTATCGTATATATTCTAATCAATTGATATTCATTCAGCATATAAAAGTAATAAACACATGTTCCTTGCCCATAGCATGTTGGCAGCAAGAATTATAAGTATGTTTTTCTTTAAAACACTGTTTCTTTAAAATAAATGATTCTCCAGTAAAACTATATTCCAACTTTCACTAAAAATTCATCCATATCAAAAATGCTTTCATCTCAAATATAATGTACAGCTAGCCCTATAAACTTAAGCAGTGCAAATAATGATAAAATAATTGAAGAAAGCTTAAGATTTCCAGTTTTTCTAGCATCTTTATGTACTATTTTGATTTTTTGGAGATTTGACCTATATTTGACCTAAATTTGAGGTACATTTAACTTTGGGGCAAATAATCCACAGTCTAAAATCATAATGATCATCAACTGATAACTACTTAAATATATATCTATTTTTTACCAAAGTCATGTCCAATAAACAACTTGTAATTTCATTAGAGTTTTTTTAAACACCATGTAGCCTTCTACAGTTCAAAGTGTGTCTTTTTTTCAACACTTATTTGTAACGACAAACTTGACTCAGCCAAACAATCTGTAGGCCAGTTTTCAATTGCTCAAATCTTGAAGTTACATGGCTAAACTGCAGTGTTTTAAAAAACCCTGCTCGAAGATAATCCAATCAATGTCATATTATATTCCTATTTTAAAATTCAACATAACTTCACGCAGTTTGACAAAAACTATTGTCAATTACATCCCGGCATCGTTATCATTGATTCATGTAGTATAATTAATTAACGTTCTTATTTCCTATCAAATAACCATTTTATTTCAAATGTAAATATTTCATTGAAACGAATTTCTCAATAATCACAGAATAATCAATCACTTTGGATCAATTTCAAAACTCTCTCCCTTTCACTGATTTAACTGATAAAAATCCCATCTACAGTCTAAAACATACTGCTTGTCTTCTGCCACTACATTATATAAAATGAGGTTTTACTATGATGAAAATCAGGAAAACACCTGTTTTTTCAGTATGCCATAATTTTCTGGAAAATTC